TGGCGCTTTGGCATGCATTTTTGTCAGGCGTGTGATGTCTTAATTTCCTGTGCGAGTGTGCGACATTAGCTTAAGTAATATTTATCTTTAATCTTTCTTTGAGCGTTCTGGCCCTATGACACATCTCACATGCCTCGATGCACAGATGTTCCCGTGTTGTACGACATTATATGTTTCCAGATTGAATATATTAAAAATATAATTAAAAAATAAAAGGTTATGAACATTGGTGAACGTTTTAGACGAAAAATAACTAAGATTAGAAAATTTTATAGTTTAGTTAAGTACTATAAAAGGTAAATGTTATGATAAGAAGTTTTACAGTTGGTCTTCGTTACTGGACATTAAGATTTGAGAACCAATCTCTAAACTTGTACCCAGACCTACAAGAAAAGTACCCTGGGTACGAGGTTGATCAATTTATAGCTTCCCCAGCTTATAATTAAAACATTCGGGTTTAAACCTGTCATAACGCTTGCACAATTATATTCACATTTAACACAGCTGAAAACTTGGGCAATGGAATGTCTGCTTACAGTATGTACAGTACATGCGTACAGAGTGATTAAAATCAATTGTAAATACTTTATTTTTAGTGATGACACTGAAAGAACTAGTGAAAATAAGCACAATAATTCTAGAGCAGCAACCATAAATCATCAAACAGAAAAACGTCTTAAGGAAATGGCGAAGAGAATAAAAGGTGACGGAAAATGGAGAAGAAAGGTAAGGGTAGGATTTCGGAAAAGGATCGTCGGGAACAGAATATGAAACAACGTGTAATGAGGCAGTATCGTGGAGCCAAATCTAGAAAAGTGTCCAAGCCTTCTTCATCAAGACTACTTGCGTATGGCGTAAATAAGAAGAAAAAATCCAAGTAATACGTACGTTTTTCACGTTCAATGCTTCATCAATATTGCAGTAATAAATTTACGTGGTGTTTCCACAAACAAAAACAATTTCATCAATATTGTTGTACGAAGAGAGATCAGCGATGATACGATATCATTTTTATTGCACATGGGAGTCTGAATGATCTTTGGGACTTATTAGCCGGACTATTTTAGGTCCGATTTTTATTTTTTAATGGATGTCAATCAATGAGTAGATGATTTATAAAAGTTCAAACTTTTTGGATCTATATCTAAATCTTTGGATGCTCACGTACAAGAAAAATCATCATAATAAAAAAGAGAGTCGCCGGTATATTTAATCATGCACGATGCTTTGCGGTCTTAAATTAGCTTTACGTACATGTAATAGAAAAACGCTAACATGCTAATATGAACTAACTAGGGAATATAGGGAGTAATTTAATTATTAAAGCATTATCGTCTGATAAATATTACCAAAACCGTGGATACCTCATCTCGCACAAAAACGCGTGATGCTTCACGCCCAAAACATGGCAAATCTTGTCACATTCTTCAAGACACGTGATTTAATTGTTTCATGTTTCAAGGATATTTGTGTTATGTTTTTGGAACATTAATATGGAACAAAGCGAAAATAAGTTGGAAAGAAAGGAATATTTTAATGAAAGGCCCTGCAGGAAAATTATTTGCGAAGAGAAATATTCAATCGAAGAAATTGTTTGCAACATTAGTGACATTTAACACAGAGTCTTGTCGATCGTATTATAATGCTGCAGTGATTCATCACTAGATAGCTGGCCAAGCCCTTGGGGCGTTATTAGGTCAGTAGTGGATGATGTCGGCAGCTTCTTCATTTACTTATATACGAACTTGTATGCCAGAATTTAACCACACCTAGTGTGTCTTTAACAAAATGGGAACAATGTTATTATATATTATTAAGAATAATTTTCAGTATTATTATAGTCCTGTGTTTTTATCAGTTGCCTCTGTTACTCACGATTTCATCGATTGATCGATTTTTTTTCTTTTTGCAAATCATTTTCCAGGGCTTTTTGAAATTATGTTCTTGCTTTCGAACTCACATGCAGTAATATGATTCCCAAAATATAGTAACAGAATTGAATGTTGTATAATTTTTCCTGGTTAAGGAAACACACTGATAATTTTATTCATATCTTAACGGTTTTGATCATGTGTGTAAACGGATTGGTGTAGATTTTTTCTGACAATCATTCCAAATCTGAATGAAAATGTACGTAAAGGACAAAGGAAATATATTTTAAGTTTGTCTTATTTGAAGGAACCTGTAAAATGAAATCCCTTTACCACTTTTTTTTATCTTGCTTAGTTTTCAAAATATTTTGACCTGAAATAGCGTGCTGTCCGCCATCTTGGAAATGCATTCGATATGCAAACGTCACAACTGCATGGCAACGAAAGAATTTTTACCCTGCCAACAACATGCTATTTTGAAGCTAGAAAGCAATTTTGTTGATGATTTTCCAATTAACTCCCAACATCTTATGAAACATTTCAATGAAATTCAGTTAGATATTGAGACGTTTTAACAGATTTATCGAACAAGATGGCAGCCAGCACTCAATTTGAGGTCGAAATATTTCGAAAACTAAGCATGAAGAAACGTGGTAAAGCCTAAAGGGACTTCATAAATCATTCTACAAGTTCTTTCAACTAAGACAACCTAAAATATATTTCCAATGCCCTTTAAATTAAATGACGGTTATATATTGTTCGAATAGCAATGATGCTAAAAATTATTATGTGCACAGTAGGACATGTGTCGTATTTGTTCTAATACGAAAGTTATTATTGTGATCACTATAAAAACATGGAGACATACAAAAAATTAGAATTTTAATATGAATTTATTCTAATAAATGCTAGATACGTGATGCGTTTTCCGAAACCTTCTCTCATCGTAGAATTTTTTTTACGATCTGAGAACATCTCCGTAAACTAATATTATGAATTTATTAGTTTTCACTATAGTTGTCAACAATGGGCTTTTAGTGTTTTACAGTGCGTCTACAGTATAAGTGGGACCACTTAGAGAGCACTAACCAATCGCATTGCAGAACAAAAATAAAAATCTAATCAAACTAAAGCTCGTCCAATCAAAAGAAATCTTCTGGAAGCCATTAACTGCAATGTTTATTTTTCAAGTCTATATTTACCGTTTGACATTCGCTTATTTGTTAAAATTGTTTTTGGCTAATGATTGGCTAATGCGCCGTTTGTTGATTTTTTCGATTTTTGTTCTGCAATGCGATTGGTTAGTTTTCTCTAAGTGGCCTCACTTACTGTAGACGCACTGTAATTACTAGTTACTATAACCGCACATTCTCGTAATTAGTACTGCAGATCGCAGAGTAATTATTTGTAGACTGATAATACTTCAATTCTGAGAAATTCATAGTTTCAATTGTACGCACGTATATTCAAAGGTTTTATACTTATATTCACTGGTTTAGTTTGGGGGTTCTCACAGCACAATTTAATTTCACATTTATCTGTCACTGCAGAGTACAACGCAAAATTGTTGTCTCGAGCGGGAATCGAACTTGCATCTTAATTCGGGTTTCTAGACCGCCGCTCTACCCATTGAGCTATCGAGTCAACGGGAATTAATAGCGAGTTTTATAAGGGCACGAAATATTTTCGCAACGACTTAACGCATGTCTTAGAGGACGAGCAGTGTTTAAATTCTATTTCAGAACCATCTCAAGCGATTCCCGCTTCTTTTCGCTGTATTCTGCAGTGTTAGTAAATATGAAATTAGTTTTTACTATCTCTGAGGATAGTTCTGAAACAGTACAATCTAATGCTACTATATGGTTGTATACTATAGTGATATTACTAGAAATGGAAATAATTTGGCTGATTTTTGCTGTTATCATATTTAAATAAACAAGACGCCTGCTCAGGCGTTCACACTGGCCTGAAAATGGCAACTTTCGTGGTATTGGGTGTAATGTGTAGTAGAGAAGTAGATAGGGATACAGGATCATAGGGATACTGGATCATTTAAATACAACCAATAAATACAATCATGATCAGCAACTATCAACCATAATATACCAAGACGCCGGCTCAGACGTACCCTCCAGCTACGGGTAACTCAACTTGACAAGCCAGGCCCACTGTAGTACTATATGATCATCAACTACCAACCGTGAATAATGACGGGCCAATAATAGCGAAGAAATTATAGTCTTGATTTTTAATGCCGTTATATGGCTAGTTTCAGGTGCTAAAAAGTTCATAGACGTAGACGATTCTTCTAAAAAATACGCCAATTTGCTTCTATTTATAAGATAAACTGATCCCAACCCAAAGTCCTTCTCTAACCCCAACCAGTAAACATCTAATAAACAACTTGAGAATTAAAAAAGTGTGGGGGGGGGGGGAGTTGGGTCTTGTTCCAAAAACAAATCGAACCGTATCACGTTTCTATTAGCCGCACGCAACGCCACCTCGCTGAATACAATCGAAAACATACATTTTATAGTAATATATGATAAATTAGAAAGTAATTTGGCGCAAATTAATGTAATTAGGTGCAAATGTATAATTATGCAAATAAATACAAAAGCACAACGCATGTTTATGAGCCTACGTACAACGTATATTTATACTTGTTAATTGTATTGAATATCGTATTTATTTCTATAATTTCTTGAACATTTGGTACAAAATATGAACGTAAACCTCTATACAAAAAACTATAAATCGTATCGTGTTCGAGCTTGTGCGTCGTATCGTGTTCGAGCTATAAATCGTATGACCTTTGTCTCTATAGCAACAGTTCTGCTATTGGTTGGCATAAATTAAGTCAACATAAATTAAATTAAATTTAAACGTTTATCACACTTGCCGGGTTGATCAGCTATGATGATCAATTGAAAGATATTAATATTAACCATAACATATACTTTTCTATAATTAACACTGTTCAGTCCGTTATTATCCTTTACGTAAAAGTTCTCCAATAACTGCAGCTGTTCGTCTCGGTCGACCTTTCGTCGTTGTCTCGATAGCTGGTGGTGACGCAGTAGAAACTTCTTCGTCAGTTGGGCTAGGTAATTCGGGTTCCATATGCAATTACAATGAATTAGATGCTGTATGGGTCAAAGGAAGGGATTTCGCGAGTGCAATCAATTCATTAAGTTCAAACTGAAATTCGTCCGTCTTAGTGTTCCAGGAGGTTCCAAGAACCTTTACTGATTTTGCTGTCGATTGTGAATTGTTGCCAACTGTCGTTTTCGTGTACGATTCATCTGCTTCTGTTATATTTCCGTCGTTCATTTTTTTCGATGTCGAGGTGCTTTGCAGGCAATTGTCTTCGTTGTCGATGTATTCGGTAGAGTTCGAGTTCCACTTTCGTAAGTTGAAGCTTGCTTCTTTCATTAGTTGTTTCGAATTCTTGTTGTTTCGAATTGCAGCATGATGTGGGATGTAGTGTATATCTTTGCGCTGAGGTTCTAGTGATTGGCTGTTGTCGGCTTCGAGATTCTCGATATCTTTCTCTGGAACTTCTTCGATGACACTAGAAGAAAGCTGTTCCTTTATGATCTGATCATATTCCTTGAGAAGCTCTGGTTTCTTTTGCAACTTGAAATGCATTGATCGCAGTCGGTTTCTGGATAACTCGTTGTTTGGAATGGGTAAGTGTTCACTCTTCCAAGGTAGACTGATTTCGTAACGGTTTCTTTGTCGAGAAACATACTTAGAGAATTCTTTATTCCGAACTGGGTCTTCGGATGGATGGATGCCAATTGACTCGGTCTCCCAAAACTTCTTCAATGTGTCGACTACGTTCTGTTTTTCATCATAGGTACCATAGTTGAATGCCTCGCTCTGTCCGGATATGATCAAGTTTGACTGTATTTCGGTCGGCGCAGCTGAAGCATGAAGTGGACCTGAAAGCAGCCATCCGAGTTTGCTACTTACAGCTACTGGACCAGATTCTCCCTTCTGCATTTCTCCAATAACTATTTGCCAATAATAGTCGGAACCAATAAGAACATCTATTGATTCATTTCTATTGTGTTCGAACTCATCAGCTAGTTCAAGACCATCAAGGTGTGGGAAGTCTTCGATGTTGACTCTAGTGGGTAGAGATGAGCAAATTACTGGAAAACTGAGAGCCTTTATTGTTAATTTGCCATGATCTTTGCCTTCGAGATTAAATTCAACCAAGTCACAATTTTGCTTGCGAAATTTGGAATTACCAAACGTATTTAAGTTTAATGTTTCATTCTTCACAGGTTTGAGGTTTAATCTTGTTTTGAGGCTGTTGCTCATATATGATCGTTGGCTTCCGCTGTCGAAAAGGACTCTTACTTTTGTTGATCTTGATCCATTGAAATTAGTTGCTGTAGTTCTCGCTGTTTGAAGAAGCACTGTTCCCTTGCTTCGCACGTTACTTGTAGTTGTGGTTCCCTTTGATTCCTCTGTTGTTTTGTTGCGGTCGGACTTGTTGTCAGGGATTGGGGATTTCAAGGTGTTACAAATGGATTGGTGGTGTTTTTGCTTGCAATGTCTACAACCCTTGGAGCTTTGGCAATTAGAAACGCGATGACCAATTCTAAGACAGTTAAAACATCGATTGGTATTCCGAAGAATATCTTGTCGCTTTTCTGGATCAGTAACCTTCGTACAGGATGCGGAATAATGAAGTTCCTTACAATAAGCACAGCGAACAGTATAATTCTGGTCGTCTTTCGATAAGAAGGATCTGGCAGTCGGTTTGTGTCCCTGTCATTTACTACCCTGTTGTCGTACGTGTTCATCAGCTTTGATTCTTTCAGACGCCTCTCTCGCTTCTACTTCTTTCTTAATAATACCTAACAGTTCGTCAATTTTCCATACATCTTGTGTTGAGTTTCGTGCAATTTGAAGACGAATTTCATTTGGCAACTTAGACATGATGACAGGAATTAACAAACTGCCATATTGATCAGCAGAAATACCCAGAGTTGCTAATCCCCTTGTATGCACGCTTATCTTATCGTAAACTAACCTCAGAGTGTCTAACTTGTCACTTGTACAGCTTGGGATCTTTAACAGTTCGTCCATATGTGCACTCACAATTTGTTGTCGTTTTCCAAAGCGTTCTTCCAATATCTTTATTGCAGTCTCATAATTGTCATTAGTCAAAGTTAGTCCTTGTATTGCTCGAGCTGCTGGGCCTTCGATTAATGACTTTTAATAGGTAGTTGAACTTGTCGATGTTGGCAATGTGAGTATTGGTATGTATGGCAGAATTAAACGAGTCCCAAAATGTATTCCATTTGGTTACTTCTCCATTAAACCGAGGCAACGTGATCTTTGGCAGCCTTGGCTTAGTTGCAGAATTCGAATGTTGCTGATTAACTTGTGTAGATTGTAAATTCATAGAATGTTGTTGTTCCACATTTGTGTTTGGCAGTTCAACCGTAGCTGTAGATTCTTGTTGTTGCCCTTCGACAGTTGGAATGACGTCGTTAATTTCGCTACTTCCGGTTGGTTGAGTTTCAATACTTCCGGTTGATTGAGTTTCGATGTTATTAATTTTACTATGAACTTTGTTACCATTTTTTAAGATCGTTTCTATTTTCTTTCGTTCAGATAGGATTCGGTCGTTTATCTCTTCTGATTCCTCGATTTCGTGTGTTATTTCTCCGACATCGCAAAGTTTAATTCGTTGAGTATATATATTCGTTAATTTTAGTTTCGTTTAATTCGTTGAGTAATTTTTGTTTATCTTGTAAGTATTGATCTATGACTTGAATTCTTTCGTAATCGTAGCTTTCTGCTTCACAAATTTCGTCAATTTCTTTAAGTAATCGTATCACGAATGCTCGATAATCCTGTCGTCTCATTTGTAATCGTTTAAGTTTCAATTTCTCTTCGTTTTCTGTTGACATCGTTGAAAATCGTTGTTACTATTGATCGATATAAATCTCGTTGTATAAACAAATGCTTCTCGTCTGTCGATAATTTTCGTTGCAATCGCGTTTATTCCTCGGCTTTAATCGTTGTTTTAATCGTTAAACTGAACGGGCCCCACGTTGGGCGCCATGTATTGAATATCGTATTTATTTCTATAATTTCTTGAACATTTGGTATAAAATATCAACGTAAAACTCTATACAAAAAACTATAAATCGTATCGTGTTCGAGCTATAAAATCGTATCGTGTTCGAGCTCATAGAGATTATAAATAACACTAGAGGAGGCATCGAGGTTAAAAATTGGGAACGCAGCTAATGGGGGGCAAATTCAAATCCCGGATATAAAATCGTGCCCTGATTGGCTGATTTGAAACTCGTCACCAATGGAAACATGAATACACATCCGGGACTTAAATTTGCCCCCCAATAGCCGCGTTCCCTTTTTTGGACTGAAGTAAGATTACAATGCCTCCTCTAGTGTTATTTATAATCTCTATGTTCGAGCTATGAATCGAATGACCTTTGTCTCTATAGCAACAGTTCTGCTATTGGTTGGCATAAATTAAGTCAACATAAATTAAATTAAATTTAAATGTTTATCACGACTCTCGGTCAGTAAGTTATTAATATATATATATATATATATATATATATATATATATATATATATATATATATATATATATATATATATATATATATATATATATATATATATATATTCCCCTCTGAATGAAAAATTGCTAGAGTTATCCCGCTTCATAAGAAGGGTTCACGCTCCGTTTTAGACAATTATAGGCCAATATCAATTTTGCCGGTCATCAGCAAAATATTTGAAAACATCTTGTATGAGCAGTTATACGAATATTTTACCACCAATAATTTATTGTCTGAACAGCAGTTTGGGTTCAGGCGCTTTCATTCCACGTCCACTGCTTTGCTTGATTGTACTGATGAGTGGTATGTTAATATGGATCGTGGTTTGTATAATCTTGCCGTTTTTCTCGATTTAAAAAAAGCATTTGACAAGGTAAACCACGACATTTTACTGGCTAAACTAGAGTTATATGGTATTAAGAACACGCCTCTTATGCTTCTCAAATCGTACTTATCAGATCGATCTCAGAAATGTCAAGTAAATGGGGAACTTTCCACACTAAAATATCTAAAATATGGCGTTCCTCAGGGTTCAATTTTGGGTCCACTTCTGTTTTTAATTTATATCAATGATTTGCCGAATTGTTTACAACACTCTACAGCACGCATGTTCGCCGACGATACTAACATTACAGTGTCCGGTAAATCAATTAAGGAAGCGGAGGTGGCCGTTAATGTCGATCTCAATAATATCAGAGAATGGCTTCTATCGAACAGGCTCTCTCTTAACCTTGTCAAAACGGAATATCTTTTGATTGGATCACGCCACAATATTAACACGTTAGAAGAACAACCGCGTGTTTTTATTGGAGATGAACCAATTAAAGGGGTTCAAGTTACAAAAACTCTTGGAGTCAAAATTGATCAATTTTTAACTTGGGACAGTCATATTGAACAAATTTCTAAAAAAATATCTTCTGGAATAAGTGCCATGAAAAAGATAAAGGATTTCACTAATTCTGATACTTTGAAGTCGGTCTATTATGGTCTTGTCCAACCCCATTTCGACTACTGTTGTGAAGTTTGGAATTCCATTAATAGAGGCCAGTCTGAACGACTACAAAAACTTCACAACAGATGTGCTAGAATTATAATGAACTTTAAAGATGAGCCTGGGCAATCTCAACTGGCCCTCGATCAATTAGGGTGGATAAGCTTGGAAGAAAGGCGAAAACATAATATGGCCTGTCTCATGTTTAAGGTTGTCAATAATTTGGCACCATCGAGGTTCTCATCAATGTTCCAGAATTCTAACCATATCCACAGTTATAATTTACGAGGTTCAAATTCGTCTCTCTTTCTGCCACGACCAAATACTGAGTATGGCAGAAAATGTTTTCGATATAGTGGGGTTAAAATCTGGAATAGCATTCCTGAACAAGTAAGAAACAGCGAATCTTTAAATTCTTTCAATAGAAATATTTCCTCTGTTAGTCTGACGAATTAGCTATTTGAGTTTTGTATACCATTTGTTTTGTAATATGTATTTGTATTCGTAGTTCTTAATTTTCTTAGTGATTTTGTATTTTATATATTTTTGTATCATTTATCTACGCCTCACTTGGAAAGCAGCTATGGTTGAAGTGGCCAGCGTAGTCAAATAAAGTTTTATCCTATCCTATCCTATTGAATATCGTATTTATTTCTATAATTTCTTGAACATTTGGTACAAAATATGAACGTAAAACTCTATACAAAATACTATAAATCGTATCGTGTTCGAGCTTGTCCGTCGTATCGTGTTCGAGCTATAAATCGTGTAACATATGCTAGTGATTATATGGTTTAATAGGGATTAAGTAATAAGAGACGTTT